GCAGCACTCCGTTGCGAGTCAGGCTATTTGTCGGTCGATGTAGCTGCGAGTCAGGCTATAAGATGTAGCAACACTCCGCGCATGTTTTACAGTTAAAAAATAAAAATTTTATTTTAAATAAAGCTTTAAAATAGAATATTAGGAATTGGAGAGTTTTTTTATTATTATTTTTACCGACAACCGAGGAATAGCGCATAACTTTAAATTTTGATGAAAAAAGAAGTATTTTACAAAACTATTTAAAGTAAAAAAAAATATATATTTTACTGATAATTTTAATGTAATAAAATTTTTTTTTTTTTGGGGGGAAGGGAATATTTTCAGGGGGGGGGGGATATTTTTTCGGGGGGATTTTTTCTCAGGGGATTATTTCGGGGGGATTTTTTCCGGGGGGATTTTTCCTGCTACCCTTAGTTAATACCTTATAATTTATTATTTATAAGTATATAGTCTATATAATAACTATATAGACAGATACCAGCCCCCCCCCTCTTTTTATCCATTTAACAATAATACCTTGTCTCTGGGTCTGGGCCGCTCTAAGGACGTCCCAGTTCTTGGTTGCTTTTGATAAAGAATAAAAATTATATTTAAAAAAAAATTAATTTTTATTTAATAACGAAAACATTTTTTCATTTTCAAGAGAATCTGATCTGTGTAAAACTTGTGGGAATAAGCTTGCTACAAAGCAATTAAATACTGCTCGTTTGCGAAAGCATATTCAAACGCAACATATGTAGTTATTCCCCAAACTTCAAAAGAAAGTAGACAAACAGAGATCACAAGTAGAGGAAGAACTAAACCAGAGTCCTTCTGGATCTGCGAGAGATGTAACCTTCCATGTAAAAATCCTTTTATTACATTTCTCACTCTCCCGAAGAAGGCGGTTATAAAAAAGTGGCCACATCAAGATTTTCAATTAGTAGTTGATCATGAGATCATTACTTTGATTGCTACTGAGTTGTTGCTGTTCAGTTTAGCTGATTCTAAAAATTTTAGGAGATTTATGAACAAAATATCACAAAATGCCACAATAAAACATTTATTGACTTATAAAACCCTCAACTTTACCATACACTATAAAGAGTTATGCATGAAGTTATGGAAAAAGTGCTCATAAATCTTAATCAGGTTGCCATAACAACCAACCATTAGATATCAAAAGCAAATAAGTAATTCATGTCCGTGACATTACATTACATCTTGCCAAACATTGCCCTAAAGAAATTCACATAGGAAGTGTGTGTATTCAAAAAGGACACACTTGTATTAACATGGCAAAAGCACTTTTGCCATGTTAATACCAGTGTATCCTCTTAAACACATAGTTTATTAGTCTTAAAAAAGACATAATAAACTATGTATTTTTTATCAGTCATCAAATATGACGTGTGCTCTAAACAACAGCCTCTCTTCAATAATTAAAGAAGGCTCTGTTCCATGCAGTGATCACAAGCTCAACACTACACTGCAAAGGACAGTAAAAAAATGTACAATTTTACCCTAGAACTGACACATGCTTTTTTTAAAGCCAGCTCACTCACTAGCAGGTTTTATAAATCAACAGCCTTCAGTGCTTCGATAAATGTTGCTTGTTCCACGTTATATGTAAATTACCTCAAAATGCCGCAGTAACCGCGAGATAGAACAGTCATTATGATATGGTGCATGCTATGCTTCAGCTGAAGGTTCCACTCATATACTAAGGTGATAAAGAAGATAATGATTGGAAAAAAATCTTATCTACAGATAAAAACTACTCTTTGAAGCTATTGTACCAGTGCAAAATTAGTTCAAGAATTATTGATGCTAATAATACATAAAATGCTGGTAGTGCACAAAGTTGGAAAAAAAATAAATATATAGTTATCTTAGCAAAGGTAAGGAAAAGACTACTTTGCATCAGGTACACAAAAATCCATTTATTAAATTATAAATGTATAAATACCAAAAAACAGGAAAACACAAAAATGCAGGTAACACTGACACTTTAGCGTGGTGGAAGCAACTTCTTGCTTTGTCATCACTGATAACAAAGACTAAACTTGTTTTTATTATTCAGAACTATTTCGATCTTGAGAATTATGGCTCTAGAAACCAGTAAGTGAAAGTAGAAGTGATATAGTACATGAAGCAGACTTATCTCTGCCAATATTAATAGAAAAAAAATCTTAACATACCAACAAAAATATAACAAACAAAAAACAACAAATAGACTAAAACCAAAGTCATCTAGATGGTTAAAAAACCATTAACTGAACCTCTAAAATTAAATCTTACTTGCATTTTGCTGATAAAAAATTCAAAAATTTACATTTTAATTTTTTTTTCTCATTGAAACTATGCGAACGTTTAATACGATACACTTATTTTTATTATCGGTATTGTGTGGTATCGAACCGATACTAATGGTATCGACATTAGGGGCCGTCCGTGAAGTACTTACTCATAGAGGGGAGGGGTCTTACAAACGTACAAAAGCGTACAAAAGCGCATGGGGGAGTGATTATACACTAGGACTAGGTCTTCCATTGAAGTTCTACTTAAGTTAAAGCCCATTTCTGTAGAACTAACATCAGATGCTTACTTAACTTGTTTACTTTATGGAAAAACACAGAACCAAAATTAAATGATTTAAAAAATTTAATGCAATTATATGGTCCAGAATACCAATATAAAAGTATGATTTGCTTACGCAACTGAAATTTAGACTCTATAATACTATTGAAGCCTTTAATATTGGGTTAAAGTCTAGTATCCTTAAATTTAAAAGACATAATATAATACCAAACAGCATAACATTTCTGGATGCAATTACTTTAACCAGAGAAGAGTTAGCATGTTGGAGTATAAAAATCAAGACACCACCAAGAAAGAAAGGAAGATTTTGAGAAGCCGCAAACATAAAAAGTTTGACAAATTTAAACAGAAAAAAGGAAATATGTATCGAGCTGTTGTTCATGATTAAAAAATACTATCAATATGCTCTTTTTATATAATATTTTTAGTTATTTTCAAATGTTTTTACACCACAATTTCAACTTATTTGTAATTTTTCTCAGAACGCATGTTTTTAATCTCCCAGCAGAAGTATCTTGAAAACCGCTTGACCGATTTAAATGAAATTTTCAGAAAGTATTCCTTTCATAAAGATGTATGCAATGAACTGAAAACTTTTTAAATACGTTTTTTAAACTAAAAAAATTAAAGAAAATATTAATCATTTTTGTGCTTAAAATGTTTGCCAAATTTAAACAGACCTACCACCTGACAGAAAAGTTGTTTGCAAGAACTGTCTGCTTATTGCATAGATCTATCTTTCTACTATGAGTTGGAAAAAAATCAGCTAAAAGTATCATTCTTAATAACTGCAATCTTTGCCAAGGTGAGGAAACTAACTTGACATTTTTCCTTAGTTACCACGTTGCTATGGTGACGGAGTGCCTTTCTTTATAATAAATTTTAACATTTTGTGTACTTTTATTTGGAACATGTTATTACTTCGTTATTGCCTTACTTTAGAAAATAATTTTTTGAGGGGTTTTCCCCCTAAAAGATAAGATAGTAACATTTAATTAAAAAATAATAGTAATAATAATAAGCATTTGTGGTTTTAGAGAAATCTCAATTTAAAGTTGACCGGATTTTTTCGTGTCCACCCGATAAAAATGATCATTTCTTTTAAGTCTTGAAATTTATTTAAATTAGATGCTTTATCCATTAATATACATACTTTTGAGTTTCACTTCTTGGAAAACTTAATTTGTTTAACAAATTGGTAATATTAATGAGCAGAACGTGACCCTTTGCTTTTAGCATTTCATTTCCGCGTACATAAAAACAATATTTTACAACATCTCTTATTATCTTATATCTACTTATATATCTTTAATACTGCTGTTGGAAATTTAGTTCTACGGACTACGATAAAGGCATTTTGTAGCATATTTTTTAACAAACTATAAATATAAGGAGCATTAAACTTTTCTTCAGGTTTACCTACGCACCACCAGAAAACGGTATTGCAGTACAATTTCACCAAACTGTTTTAAGAACGGCTAAGAAAATTTTGTGCAGCCTGCAATAGCAAGGCAGTTTAGTGCAACATCATTTCAAGAAAATGTTGTAACTTTTTTATTATACCTTCAAGTAAGCTGTAGAGCTTACTTGAAGGTATAATAGGAAAGGAAAAGCTGTACCCATACGGAAATGAGAGTAAGAAGTGTTGACGCCGATAAGAATATTATGATTATTGTAAGAAAATAACTAAAAAATTTAAACTTGAAAATAAAATATTGGTGAAGTCTCCAGATACCCGATGCTGTATTGAGTCTCAATATATATAAAATACAATATTTGAACGATTATAATACAATATTTAATACAATATTTGAACGATTTACCGGGATTATCTTTAAGCAAACGGTAGTAGCGGGCAAAAGATGCCAACACACTTGTAAGCTAGAAAGCGCAAAAGTTGATGCCAATTCAAATGTGCATCTGGAGAATGATAAAAAACTGTATGTTGTGCGTCCTGAAGGCGAAACTTCACCTTTACCTTTTGGTTTGGATTTATATTTCAACTCCCTGTAACTCTGAAAATTTTTACTTTTTAATTTTTCAATATTTGTTTTTTGTCAATTTGTGTTTTCAGTTATTCAATTTATCTTTGCTAACTATTTTGGGACCAATTCACGTGACTTTAGGAGATAAAATAGGTATTCATCTATTCAGATTTTTTACTTAGTCTAGTTTTAATATGTCTAAAACTATAAATGTAAATTCTTTAGATCTTTTTTAAAAGTAGAGCAGGGGGTAAAAGATAGTAAAAAGAAAAAGGTGTGCATAGTTATTTCTTTAAAATCCCCCCTCCTCCCTATCTCCTACTTGTAAACAGCTAAATATGATTAAAGCGATTAAAGAAAGTTGTAACTTTAAATCCGGTGCAAATTTTTTGCAGCAATGTATCAACAACGACAACAAAAAAGAATATGGCATAGTACATACAGATTTATGCATTCAAATTTATTTTTATTAAACGTTTTTTTTATTGTAATGTTTGTGTCTCTGTTAAAAACATTATAACAACTTTAATGACTTGACGACAAACACTCCACTTACCACAGCTTGACAACGAAAGTGTTCAAGTGGGGCTTGGGGAGAGTGAAGTACTGATAAATGTTTTTCTTGACGTTGTTTACTAAGATATTAGAAAATATCACAGTTATATGGCTTCTGAGAATATGTGCTATTTAATGAACATAATAGTATACCGCATATATCAACAATTTCTGAATATCAACTACTACTGTAAATATCAACTATCAATGAAAATTACCTTTTGTCATCTCATGAATTCGTTTGATTAAACACGATGAAATTGCATCGACATAAATTTATTTTTAAGATTTTTTTTATTAGGAATTTTTAAAAGTTATTTATTTTTAGTAGTTTTGTTATATACATGTATATCTGTGATCATAAATTAAAACTTTCAAAGTGTAGAATTATAATTTTAGAATAATAAAATCATTTCTTTATGTCAAACTAATATACGTTTAGTGAGTTTAACATGGCTTGAACTCTTTTTCTGAATGAGCTTTTATTTCTGAATTATAGAATTTCTGAATAATTAAGAGCTTCTCAAATGAGCTTTTTTTTTTTTTATATAATAAAATTAATTACATTTTTATATTTAAAGTGTCCTTCAAATAAATATTGAGTGTAAAATAAGAAATGAATTGCTCATCAAAATTTAATGAGTGCAGAGTAAAAATAATTGATAAAGTTATAAAGATTTTCTGCATTGCAGATTGTTGTTTGATACTACTGCTGAACTTCTTTTTGATATTGTCGTCAGGAAATGCTTACTTTTTGTTAAAAATATTATTTAGTAAAGCACAAGAATTGAAATTCAATTTAGCTTGTAATTCCAATAATTTTTTTATTTATTTTCAAGATGTTTATAGAACAATGGTTGTACTTTGTAATTCATATCTTCAATTTAGCTTACATAATTATGTGTAGTAACAAGTTTCCTTCATATGAATTAAATTGTTATTTAAAATTAGAATTTGCATCTCAGTAGCATACCTTGCAATAACTTTCACAGCTTTTAGATAATATTATTTTTAAAAATTATATATCTTTTTTTATTTGTAAGAAGACAATTGCAAAGTGTTGTATTATTGCAAAGTGATCTATATTGAGTTTTTCAATTTTTAAAGTTTTTATTTAATTGCAAATTTTTTTATACATACATACATATATACATACATACTTACATATATATATATATATATATATATATATATATATATATATATATATATATATATATATATATATATATATATATATATATATATATATATATATATATATATATATATATATATATATATATATATATAAATATATATTTATATATATATATATATATAATATATATATATATATATATATATATATATATATATATATATATATATATTTATATATATATATATATATATATATATATATATATATATATATATATATATATATATATATATATATATATATATATATAGACACACACTCACACACACACACACACACACACACACACACACACACACACACACACACACACACATATATATATATGTATGTATGTATGTATGTATGTATACTTTTTTTTTTCTTAATTATGTTGCAAATTGTAAAAATTGGCTGTAAGCTATTATATATATAATTAAAATCAATCAAGCAAATAACGATTGAAATTATTAAGGAAACCAGATTTTCTAGGTTTCATAACCACGAAAACGCAATTTATTTGTCTAGAACTTTTTTTTTTTTTGTTCTAAATTTTGTTTTTTGTTTTAAATTTTTTGTTTTATATTGTTTATGATATTTTAGAGTCAGAGCTTCATAATTTTAATTTTGTGGAAATATATATAATACTAATAATCAATTTGATGGAAATTGTTTTATCAAAGTTAAAGTTTTTATGGAATTTTGGAAAAAATATGAGGAAAAGTTGTTATTGTTATTTCGAAAATTCTAAGCACATTTAAAATTACTATTTTTTTTACAATTTTACCCACTTCCTCAATCTGCTAATATGATTTTAATGTGTCTCTGAAAACCCTATGTTCTTCTGTACACTCTAAATTTTGTTAAAAAAAAATTTTTTTTGTATGTATTTATATTTGTTTGTATGTATATAGTTTTATAAAATAAAGTTTTTATATATAGAAAAGTAAAAGTGTATCATGAAATTATTATAAAATAAATACTATATTAAACTGTTTAAATTAAAACTTTATAAAGTCAGTATAATAAAACAGTTTTTAGACAACTTTTTAATATTTATTTAATAAAAATCTACTTTCAAAGAAATTTTCAAATGCAAAAACTCTACAAAGAGTGTGGGATTAGTATAGTTAATATTTAGATAAACAATTTTAAGTTAAGTTTGTGGCTACCTGGTTTTAATAATAATAATAAAAAAAAAGATGTTGCCAAAGTAAACTTAAAAAAAGTAAACTTAAAAAAAGTAAACTTAAAAAAAGTAAACTTAAAAAAAGTAAACTTAAAAAAAGTAAACTTAAAAAAAGTAAACTTAAAAAAGGTAAACTTAAAAAAACTTAAAAAACATTCCTTAAAAAAATTATTAAATCTGATAAAAAGTCGAATAAAATGTTTTTATTGTTTTGTTGAATTTAACGTTTAAAATAGTTAAGTGTGTTTAATTTTAAAAGTTTACATTAGAGATATAAATAATTGTAAATTGTTTACATTAGAGACATAAAAAAGTTTAGATTAGAGACATAAGTAATTGTAAATTGTTTACATTAGAGACATAAATAATTGTAAATTAATATACTCAGTTAATATCTTAATTCATACTTTTTTTTTATTCAGTTTACTCAGTTGTTTTGCACTTAGAATTATTTTCTACTCTAAATCTATTTGTTTAAATATGGTGCTTTTTCAATGGTGCATCCAGACACAAAAATATAAAACTAATACTTCTTGTGTTTTATTTGTTTTTGTTTTTAAAACAGTGATAAATTGATTAATAGATTATTTAAAGTATTATTTTAAGTTGTGTTCAACTAAAAAAAAAGTTTAAATATTGATTATTAAGAAAATGTGATATATATATATATATATATATATATATATATATATATATATATATATATATATATATATATATACATGGATAAATATATAGATAGATACATAGGTAGTGATAGACACATTTGTACATACGCACCTTCATACATACATACATACATACATACATACATACATACATACATACATACATACATACATACATACATACATACATACATACATACATGCATACATACATACATACATACATATATACATACATATGCTAAACTAAAATTTAATGTTTAAGTTTTAATACTAATTTATCCTTAACTTCATGTATTATTTTAGAAAAATTTGAATTTAAAATTAATACATTGTTGATTGCGTTACTGACATGTGATATAAATGAGAAAAAATTGTATCCAGAGTGTATCCTATTTTGGTGGGTTTATATAAGGTGAGTTTTTCAAAAAAGATGAAGTAGAACTCATATATATGTGTGTTAGAGATACCTCTGATTGATTTTGATTTAAAAATTAAGTTAAAAAATAGTTTTTTAGTTTTGTTGGCAATTTTATATAAAGTTTTAAAATCAACAAAAAGATGTTAGTGGGTATTGTTTCAATAATTGTTATTATTACTAAAAATATATAACATTGCACAAAATTATAAAATATTTTTGTTGTTGTTGGTTTGAAAAAACCATCATAACTGTTTTTAAAAATTGATGAAACATGTTTAAAAACTAATAATGCAAAAATTAGACAAAAATAAATGAAAAATTTAACTTTGTTAACATGGCTTTTTTGTATTTTATAAAGCAATAAGCTTTGAAATACAATAAGCCAACATATGTTTAATATAGATTTTAAAGTCTTACATTGCTTTTTTTTTTTAAGTTAGTATCTAGATACCTAGATAGTTTTACACTAGATGGCTAAAATTAGTAGAGTATTAATTTTTGTTTAAATGAGGAGAGAGTACCCAGTGAGAAGATAAGAAATAATACAAGTATTAGGAAAAGAAAACGACAAAAAAATCAAATGAAAACTTAAACAAAATAAAAAATATTTTTTAAATTGGATTTTATTAACAAATTTTAGGTTATGTTGAATGTGAGAAATTTTGGATAAAATAAAAATATGGGTCGTATTCTGTAAAAAATGAATTTGTCATTTTTATTTACTGAACTACAAGCATTTTTATTATTCAGTAACATCCCAAATATCAGCTTTTAAATATTAACTATCAATTTTCCTGGTAATTTTTTAATTTTTTTTTTATAACATAATTATTATTATAGCATGAATTCAGTTACTTTTATAAACCAGTTATACTGGTTTATAAACCAGTCATACAAGAGAATAAGACATCAAATGAAAAGAATTTTTAATTTTCATATAATCCAAAAGTTTATGAATTATAAAAAAATTTTCAAAACATATTGTTAACAAGAGAATTAATTATAAGAGAATAATAAAAATAAGAGAAATCTGATATTTTAAATAATTTTTTGAAGAACTGAAAGTACTTTTGCACTTAATAGGTTTGTTCTCTAAGATAAATGTATGTGTTATGCTGCATATTTGATTAGTTATATGCATATGTGTGATGAGAAGTTTAGTAAATTAATATTACAATTAATTTCTTAACAAACTGTCTTTACATTGATGATAGCATTTGTTTTATCTAATTTATATAATGCAATGTTAATGTGATTGCTCCAAGCTGTTTTCTATTCTTATGCAAAGAAAGTTAATAGATATTTTGTAAAAAATATATATACTATTTAATTAAAAAACTCTAGCTAATTTAAATTGGAAAATTTTTAATTTATGCACCACTAGTCTTACTGTTGCTAAGTGACAAGTGAAATCATTAACTGCTGCTAAGTGACAAGTGAAATTATAAATTAAATGTTGAACTGCTTTGAATTTAATAAGTTCTATTCGAATTATTTAAGTAAATAAGAAATAAAAGAGTACAAATCCCTGTGGGATTCCTATTTGATTTTAGTTGTTAATACTTAGTACGAGTTCTTTCCAAAAATGGATAGGAATTTTTGCTTTCAGTAAGAAGTTATTAAAACCCAAAATAGGGTACTTTTCAAATTTAATAATTTATTTAAATACCATTATTTCAAAATTTAATAGTTTGTTAAAAACTCTATTATTGACTCTGTTTTCAAATGTATTATCTATATATTTAGCATCTTGAAGGTTAATGAAAATGCCATGCAAAATATTTTTTATCCCTTTATTATTTAGATCTTTTTTATGATTGCTAAATTTCTGTATGAAGCTATTGTTTTTGTAAAAGCTACATCTGAAAATATTGTTGCAATAAAAAAACAACTTAAAGCAAATCTTTTTTTTACCTTTATATTCCTGTGAATTTTTTTTTTTTAGTGCTGATTTTGTAACATGGTTGAAAACAAAGAGTTGGTTTTAGGACAAGATGTTGTTCTTA